TGGTCCAAGAAGCTATCTTGAATGTCAGGAACTTCTTGATCATAACTAGCACCGTGCTGAACCCTGATGAAGACAACTTGGGCATTGCACTGCCTCCTGTTGTTCAAATCTTGAAACTTATTTTGGAGAATACTGAAGCTATTGAGCGTCTTGTAGATACGTTTATCTTCCTTCTTAAAGAAGTTATAAACATAATACTCTCTACCTTTGGGGTCACTTACAAATGGGTCTCGCACGCCCTTGGAACCCCAGGTGCCCAGATAGGAGCTGGCGTGGGTGGATTCATTGGTGGGGCCTTCGGTTTGACCTTGGGCCTCTTAAGCGGGCTTGTTGGTGTTGCTGTAGGAAATGCCTTGGGACGGCTCATTGGAAATGGCATTGACAACCTGATGGGGGAACAAAGGCGGCAAGGAATAAATGGATTGGGACCAAACAGGCAACCACACAATCAGTATCCCAAATATAATTTCAATGCAGATGCCAACGGTCGATTGGATCTGCATATCCATTTCCACCAAATATGAAAAACAAGATTTCTACTATTAATATTGGCTAGAAAACCTCATAACGTACCATTACACAAGGGTCTTCACTGGCTGCCAGTTTAACAACGTTTAATTTTATATTAACCTTTTACTTCTTACATTTAAAGCATTAAATGAAGCACTAACTGAATCAATTATCAAATTAAGGATTTAATTAAGTATTAAATTAAATTCAATAGCACTTGCCAACATTTTCGATCAATTGCACAGATACACAGCTGGAACGCCACTACATTCTGCTGCTATGTCTTGTTAATGTATCCCGAGGACTAACTGATGGCCATTAAGATTGGTCTTTTTCTGTCTGTGCCCCTAAACTGACAGCGGAACAGGTTACCATGATATATATTGAAAGAAACCAATACTATGAGTTCTGTTAAATCTTATCTTAAAACTGATCTTTTTAAACAACATGTTTTTAAAATATCTTGGTTTTATTAGTTAGTATATAAGGCTGTGCTCTAAGAATGTTTTCAGGGAGCCCTTTGGGCTCTCAGCCATGCCAGCTAGGGTGCCTAGCTCTCCAGGTTGGTTGCCCAAAACAGTTGATTCATCAATTATTAATCAATTAATTAATCAATTAATTAAAATTTATAAGTAATTTGAGGTTTAATCAGTAAATAACTAAAACATGAAATTAAATTACACAACCTGCCCCTAAACTGACCATGGAAAAGGTTACCAAGGTATATATTGAAAGAAACCAATACTGTGAGCTCAGTTAAATGTTATCTTTAAACTCATCTTTTTAAAGAATATGATTTAAAAATATCTTGGTTTCATTAGCTAGTATACAAGGCTGTGCTCTAAGAATATTTTCAGGGAGTCCTTTGGGCTCCCAGCCATGCCAGCTAGGGTGCCTAGCTCTCCAGGTTGGTGGCCCAAAACAGTTAGTTCATCAATAATTAATTAATTAATCAATTAATTAAAATTTATAATTAATTTGTGGTCTAATAATTAAACCATGAAATTAAATTATCAACACATATACACTGTCAGATTACTCCTGGCTGCTTTCTGCCAAGTAACATGTTTGATTTTCCCAGTAAACACAACACCATAATTAATTATTTTCTCACAAGTGTTAGGTAACAGAGATTTTTTCAAAGAGGGCTGATTTAAGGCAACCTTTTATTACCAATGATCACATCATAACAGTAGCACCTTTAAATTGACTTTTATACTATATTGAATGTTTTCAAATTGTATCCATCTGATACACTTAAACTTAGATTTGAATTTATTTCATAGGACCTTTAATGAGAGTAAAGGTCAAGTTGCTATTTTTGCGACAGTCCGGCTTACTGAACACCCAGTTAAATGATAATCTTTACTAAGCCCTGGGATTTTGAAAAAGAAACGTTTCGACTTTCGACTTGCAGACGTGAAGCCGCAGAATTGCCCAAAATGCTACATATGAG